ATCTAAAACTAATGATGTAATGTATGGGGATTAACATAAGAATAAAAAAAAAAAAGAAAAAATAAATAAATAAATAAATAAAAAAGGGGACTGAGCAGAACCAATTGGTAGTAGGGCTATTCATTTGTGTCTATCACCTTGATCTGATCTAGTTCTTATTTTTGGACTTTATCCTATACTAGTTCATATTTTTGGACTCTCCTATACAGTTGTCCATTTCAGGCTTTCCTTTCAGTCTTCAGATCCCTATTTAGAATTCTAGGATTCCCTGACTAATCTGAACCAAGTCGCCCACCACCATCAATCCTTATTCTAAACCTGCTGTTTTCATCATCCTCTCAAAGACTGCCAGTTTTCCTAAACATGTACTTGTATATAAAAATGGCCTCAATAAATGTGTATATATAAACTGTACCAATAGCCATCTTCCCAAAACCGGTTTGCAGTCTGGCTTTATCAGAGTATCTGGGGGCACTACCTGAAATGTAATTCCTAGGCTCTACACCAGAACTCCTACACTGAACCTCTAGAAGGTAGAACCTTGGAATTGTTTTTAAAACATATTTCTCGTTCAGATGTGAAGGCAGTTTGGGGTATGTCACAGATGGCAATATTGTCTTCAATAATACTTGTCCTCTCCTAACATAATCTCCTAAAATAAAAATAATGAAAAAAATTTTTCATACCCTTTTCCTTTGAAAATGCTATGTCTAAGAAAAATGACAAATTATCTACTAAATGTTATTAGTAAAATACTGTAAAAGCCTTATCACGGTTTCGATTGTTTTATTTATTTTATTTTTTTAAAGATTTTATTTATGTATTTGACAGAGAGAGCAGGAACACAAGCAGGGGAGTGGGAGAGGGAGAAGCAGGCTTCCCGCCAAGCAGGGAGCCTGATGTGGGACTCGATCCCAGGACCCTGGGATCGTGACCTGACCTGAACGCAGACGCTTAACTGACTGAGCCACCCAGGCGCCCATCGATTGTTTTAATTCAAGTGAGCTCATGAGTATCACAGTACTATTTTCTAAGAAACAACAACAAATAGTGAAAGTAAGTCCTAGGGTGAAATACTGCAATAATTTACAAGTGTGGGGTAGTTCTTAAATGATTCTGAGACACCTATTTGTGAAAAGGCAACTTATAGTTTACCATATTTCTTTCATTGATTCTAAAATTCATTTCTCTGTTTTCACATTTTAACATCTCTGAAATCAGGATATACCATAAAACTGGTAGCATTTCACAACATAACTGGCAGCATTTTTTCCTATTACTGTGTGTCCTACAATCAACAGTATCTAAGTTTCAATAAAATACTGTAAACACTAATTCTTCATCTGGCATCAAAGACAGTTCCTCTAGGGGCGCCTCGGTGGCACAGCTGGTTAAGGGTCCAACTCTTAGTTTGCGCTCAAGTCGTGATCTCAAGCCCCGCATTGGGCTCTGTGTGGAGTCCACTTCAGATTCTTTCCCTTCCCCTCTGCCCCTCCCACTCATGCTCTCTTTCTCTCTCTCATAAATAAATCTTTAAAACAAACCAACCCCAGTTCCTCTAAAAACTCCAGTTAGGAAATAATTTGCTAGTCTGATTCAAATTACATGGTATATGAAAATGAGGAACATAGTTTTCTTAAAAAAAAAAAAAAAAAATCTGTAATTATCAATGGAAGGTACTACTACTCCTTCCTTTTCCACCATGCCAGTCAGCCTTACAATAGGACCTAACAGAAAACATACTCAAGAGTGTCATATATGTAGTCAGTATTTTCTGGGCCTCATTTGTAAACTAATGAGTAGATGAACTCCAAGGCTCCTTTTAGCTCTTAAAGTCTACAATTCTATAACCTTAATTATTTAATTATTAATATTGAGCTCACCACAATTCTCATTTCCTCTTCTCTTCCCAACCCTACTCTGTAGTTCAAATTAGCAGGTCATAAAAAGCAGTCAATAGGTTTATTTTGTTTGTCAAACTGTTACAGAATAATAAGGCTTTAAAAAAGCAAAGTAGATCCTTGAGGAATAAGATGTTAAAAATCAGTACTTTTGAGAGTTCGGCTGAGAGGATGACCTTAAACTACTTCTTGTCGTAAACCTTCTGCTTTTTGTTACTAAAATACTATGACTTTATCATAATCACACCACTATGAATATTTTTTTTAAAAATAAGACTATCAATTTGACTGACTCACAAGGCTATTTTGATGTTTTAATTTTTCTAACCTTTTCACATTGTTATTTAAAAAAAGAAGAAAAAAGGAAAGAGTAAAATTTGTTTAGTATGAACATTTAGCACCCCTAAGCTTTTCAGTGGTCATAATTCATCTTTACATCTCTACTGCTTAGCAAAGTGCCTCACACAAGATTTCTGAAGCGAACTGCTTTTGTGGACTGGTAATATTCAAGTACAGATATTATCTAGTGAATCCTGATTTAAAACTGGTCAAATTATAATATTCAGGTTTGACAGAATTAAGCAGAACCCACTAAAAAAACTACTCTGTTAGTATAATAAAGAAGTTCACAGTTTTACTCTAAAATCCGCTTTAAAAAAAGGCCTTATAAACCAAAATGACTGTTTCCTCAAAATTCTAGATGATAAAATAAGTATACAACAAGTACTTAAACTTTTGTTGTTTCTTAGCCTTGCTTTACTAAGCAAGGTGGGAAACAAGGTAGGGGAAGGAAAATCAGGTTGGGTAGATTTCTTAGCTGAAGGCAGATAAGAAAGGTGGATAATTTTTTTTATTTCTAACTCTGGATTAATCTTATAGAGAGTAATTTCATTGCTTTTTTAAAAGTAGGCATAGCTTTTACTGGAAATACATGAAAGGATTCCAACCCAAGAAGCCAAACATAAAATGTATGGTCTTAGGATTTGCAGTTCTGTTCTAACAATCGAAATTCATAGATAATGGGCGCCTGGGTGGCTCAGTTGGTTAAGCGACTGCCTTCGGCTCAGGTCATGATCCTGGAGTCCCTGGATCGAGTCCCGCATCGGGCTCCCTGCTTGGCAGGGAGTCTGCTTCTCCCTCTCCCGCTCCCCCCTCTTGTGCTCTCTCTCTCTCTCACTCTCTCTCTCAAATAAATAATAAAAAAAAAAATCTTTAAAAAAAAAAAGAAATTCATAGATAAGACCTCAATGTACTTTTCACAAAACATCACTAACATCCTTATATGATACCCTACATTCTGCTAACCTATGTAAAGTAAGTTGCTGCCTGCCTGATGAACAGTTATTAAGTATATTAATTATTTATGTAGCTCAAAACTAAGAGAGTAAAATAAAAAGAGAACCAGAAACCAAGCAATGATAATTACTCCAAATAATTAATGCCTCATTCTGCCTCTGTTGAAAAACTGCTTGAGTTACTTAAATAATGTAGACTCTTTCCTCAACACTAGAAATATATTTGGTGTTTTTAAAAACCAGTAACAAACAAAAGAGGCACACAATTTCTGCAACTTTTAAATTTCGGAGATGTCAAACAACTTTTTCCACTGGTTTACAGTTTTATGAATAGACAAATCTATCCTAAAACTAAAATATACTTTAAAATAAGTATCACTATTTCCTAGTTGTGTCGTGGGTTCTTATCTTTTATTAGTATGGAATGCTGACTGTATCTTAATTTTACTTGACATCAAATTTTACTTGAAGTTGTTAAAAAAAAAGAACTAGTAATGATGGGTTTATGTAGTACCATGAATACAATAAAACCCTGTGATGAAGGGGGCAGCGCCTGGCTGGTACAGCATGGGACTCTTCATCTTGGGGTTTTGAGTTCAAACCCTACGTTGGGTGTAGAGATTACTTAAAAATAAAACCTTAAAAACACACACACACACAAACAACCTGTGATAAAGCATCTTAGGACAAATGCAAATTTTGGCACATGACTGGCAATTGGTTTATGTCTTCTGCCCAGGCCTACATTCTTTTTTTTGTTTGTTTGGCCAGGCCTGCATTCTTAAATGGGGGCACTAAAATTCTTATTTTCTGTGGAGGCAAGGAGTTAACAAAAGGCAGCCAATCTGGAGAAACAGGAAGTTAGAAGGTGGATACCCACCTTGTGTTCCCAATATTCTCCCAGCTCAATATCCCTGGATTGGGTTGATGACACAAAGCACCATTAATTTCAAGATTCCTGGAATGGCTGCTGTTTTCCTAGTAGTTCCAACCAACTCCAATATATTTAAGTGGTAAGAAAATATCACAATCAGGCAGTGTTCTACAGGAGCATTTTGAGTGATCCAGCAGGAACTCTTACTAGCAGCACTCACCAAACTGCCCAGATCACTTCACCTTCATGATAATGCAACTCTAAATTTTATATCATGGAATTTCTGGACACCACTTATTATTTTATGGTATGATTTTATCGTACCACTCTTCCCAGTTAAGATTTGATACTCATATTTATTACTGGGTACCTCCACATGCCCTTGCTCCTGTGCTATGGTCTTTTCCCAATATCCACTTGTCTTCTCAATAGAGAAGAAACTTTTGGGGTTAGTTGTCAATATTTAGAAAATCTATTATTTTTCAAAGAGAGAGTGATCATTATTCAAGACAACCAATACTTTGTGGAACACATTTATAAATTTGGACAAGAACAACAAAAGTATAATATTTACAACTTATAATACAAAAACATCCATATATTCCTATACCATATAATGCCGTATTTTTTTTTGTCACTTATAAAATGAATTCACTGAACTGTATTACAATCTCCCCAATATTAGGTATTTATTCTAGTACTAATTTTTAAGCATAAGCCCAACTTACCCGGACAAGTGCATCATCTATGATATGGTCACGTCTGACTTTGAGTCTCAAATACGGATTCAACTGCTGTCCTTGAACTAAGCTGTAGAGAACAGTGATTCTTCGTTCACTGTACATGCGAATTCTATTGTCATAATATAATCCCAAATTCTTTGTGACAGCATTCAATATAAAGGGACATGTCATGAAAGAGAATTTGTTCTCTGTTTCTACTTTGAAAAAAGTATAATCTTTATCCATTTCTAGAACATCATTCAGTGGTTCATTAATAAACTCTTCAAAAGGGATAAGTGGTTTTCGGCAATCCAGAGTTTTAACACCAAGTTCAGTTTCCAGTGGGTCCACTCGAGGACCTTTCTTATTTCTTCTTTCCTCTCCCAAAAGCTCCTGAAGTGTCAATTCACTGGACTCAGGGATGGGCTCTTCATCATCTTCTTCATTATGATTTGTGTCCACTTCCCCACCCACTACATTTGCATAGTAAACCATTTTCAAGCACTTTGAAGCAGCAACAATAGCATCATCGTCATTCACTAGATTCCGACTGTTAAATTCATTGCTTATGACTTTGTAAGTAATAAGTTGCTGAAATGTTTCCATCATTCTACGAATCTGGTCTGCACTGTATTTAGACCACAGTCTAACCAATTTTCCTTGGGCTGCAAGGGGTAGCTTACTCATTGCTTTGCAAAATAACGGCAAAGCCATTTCCAGATACTCAGGACTGTGGAGATTTCTATTCTCCATTACAATAATGAATAAATTCAGATAATTAGGATCTCGAGAGTATACATTGTGATACGTCAAGTCACATTCCACATTAGGTGACAAATATACAAGTGCATTGAGAAAAGCAGTTTCTATTTTTTCATTAGAGAGTAATCTGGTATAGACCCTTCTAATGGCCTCAATATCCACAGACACATCATCAGGGCCTAATTTTTGTAAGTTGTTATCTCCTTGTGAACTATCACTTATCCTTGAAGAAGATGCTTCTGAATCTTCTTCCATAGCAGCAGCAGAACATGCAGCTTTTTCCTTTTCATCTTCATCTTTGTCTTCATCCTTTCCTTGAAGAGATTTCAGTTCTTCCTTGGTGTGTTGTTTGACTTTCCGAAAGCTCTGTACCAATGCCTCAGCACTAGAAAAAACTCTTCCAATAACACGGATTAAAGGGGAATAATCCTCTCTCTCTCTACATAATTCAAGAATTTCATATACCGTCTCTTCTGTTAGGTAAGTCACATCTAGAAAATTAGAGAAAAAAAAGAACATTTGTAAGTATGTTTAGTTTGTCTTAACAAGTTCTAGTGTAAAGTAAAACAGCCATTTTGTACTCAATACCATTTATAACTTACAACTCTTTTAAAACATATCTAATACTTAGAGTCAACAAAATATATTTACTTATTTTTGTCAATGAACTACTATTAATTGCAACAACCTCACCCATTCTTTTACATTCTTTCAATAATATGTAGCTTTTAATGAGCTCAAACTCTTTTCACAATCACAGTGGAAATTAACACGTAGCTTTAATTTATAAATATAAACCAAGACAATCATGTGCTGATTTGATTCATCACAATACACCTCTTACAACCTCACTTTAGAGCAGAAACACTACTGTTCTTCTGAGATGTTTCTTATTTCACTACTCTTCTCAAAAGACTGAGGAAGGCAAGAAAGGGTTCCTTCAGCATCCTCTGGGAAAAAGCCCTTGTCTTACTTTTATGTATCTTAAAATCAAACTGGTTCCTTTTGAGTCTTCCTGTTTAGTTTTTTCCAGGGTGGTCATTCTGTGGGTGATTGAGAAAAATTTACTATACCATTTCTCATGAGATCTGAAGTTGACAAACACTGCCATCTGTAGCCAGGAATCAGGTTGGAATAAATAGGAAATAGTTATAGAGTAATAAAAAATATAGTAGTAGGCAACTTATAGCAGACAAGTGAAACATTACTATGTAGCTACCAAAATCTTTTTCCTCTCCTTTCTGGGCAGATTTGGACCACATCTCCTAGCTTTCTCACGTTTTTAAGGTTAAGTGCTACTTTCAGGCCAAGGCTTTTCATTCTGGTTAATGGGATGATGCTCCCAGGATGCTCTGGAAGCCATGTGTTGAAGATAACAATGTCACTACAGCACCATTTCTTTTCTTTTTTTAAGATTTTATTTATTTGACAGAGAGAGACACAGCGAGAGAGGAAACACAAGCAGGGGGAGTGGGAGACAGAGAAGCAGGCTTCCCGCCTAGCAGGGAGCCTGATGTGGGGCTAGATCCCAGGATCCTGGGATCATGACCTGAGCTGAAGGCAGACGCTTAACGACTGAGCCACCCAGGCACCCTACAGCACGATTTCTGAATGATTATGTGAAGCAGAACTTAGAAGCCAACCCAGAATATCATGGCTTTTAGATGAGCCAGAAATAAATTCCTACTTTGTTTAATAAGCTAGTGCTTTCTGGTATGTACTTAATATTGCAGTGTAGTTCATCCTTACTAATATAGAAAGAAGCTTCTCACCTTTCCCCACCTTGCCTTCAAAGTCTTTAAAATACCAGTAGACTGTCTAAATTATGCTTAATCCTTCTTAGTACTTTTCTGGTAATAAAAATTTTATAAGATAAGCTGATTGTTTTTGCAACTTATCACTATTATTTTTGCAGTCTGTATTATTTAAATCCAAGGGAGTTTTATTATGTTTTTCTATTACATCCATTCTCCCCCACAAAGAAATAACCCTGTAAGAGGCAAAAATGACAGGAGGCAATGAAAGGCCAAACCAAATATCAATTTATTACACATTTTCAGAGTTATAGTAATGTTAACAAGTTGAAATTCTAATGAAATCACAGAAGAAACAAAAAAGGAAAGAACATTTCAATGATTTTTGAGACAAAAATCTCTGGAGCCAGTTACTACTGCAGGGGTGAGAGAGTATAGCAGTTTGCTGGCATGCATTTTACTTCCCTCTCACATCTGTCTCTAAATAGTAGCTTAGACCTCCATTATCACCTTTTTAAATACTTTTATATTTGCTCTTTTTATATTTGCTCTTTTTATATTTGCCATTATTCCCTTTCAGACAAAAACCAAATAAACATATGGCTCTAATTCTCTTCACCAACAAAATTTAAATCTATATGTATATCCCCTTGAGAGGAATGAAGAGTAAGTTTGGAGGTTATGGAATGTGTAAGCATTCCACTCCTAAAAGGCAATGCCACTGGATGAAACACGTTAGAACAATAAAGAGAAACTCCATGTGTGTTCCCTCTCTTATGCTTTGCTTACTCAAACACACACAAAAAGAATTTTAACATGCTGTTTTCTAAAACTCCAAGTTGTCACCTTCTACTCAAATGTTAATTTATTCCATGCAGTTTAATCTGAGCTTTCATAACATTTAACTTTTTCATAGAAAGCACTGAATACAGTGATTAAAGAGGAAAACCATGTAAAACATTCCAACTCAAGGAGTAGTAAATCTCACTGCTTGGAGAATCATACAATTGACAACTCATAGATTTAACACCTCAAATAATAAACTCCCCGGTACTTAACATGAACTTCAATTTAAAAAAAGAAGGGAAAAAAACCAACATTTTAAAATTAAAATTAGCTTAGCTCTCATGTACTCAACTCTCATGATCTATTCTCAAAAGAAAAACAAAAACAAAAACAACCCACCCTTCATTTTCTCACTTACAATCTGAGATAAGCTAAATAATCACAAAATTTCACCTTACCAAAGCTGAGAAATATACCTCAACACTATTTTTCTCTTATGACTTGCATGAATATCAGGTAACTGGGGATAAAATAAACTGTTTTAATATTCAAACAAGAACATAAATGATTGTATTTCAAATAAAAATACAAAAATAAAAATATTCTGACCCTATAGTCAAACAACCTCATTAATAAAAGTAGTGAAAATATCCTTTAAACATTAGATAATAGAATTTCACTTTACAAATCAACGATATTACCTGTTCTAATAGCTAAAGGCAGAATGAATGCTCTGGGCAAAGATAATTCAAAAACTTGAAAGTTCCATGTTACTTATACGTACATGTGTGTTTTTTTTGATCCTTAAGGACTATCATACATGTCTGCTATTGCTGCAAGTATTCAAATGTTGGTAAACAGGTAAGGCTAACCAATTACTAAAAGGATATGAAACCGTTAATGACTGACTATAAAGGATATAATTTTCAACTGATAAAAAAATGTCTACAAACAATGCTGGATAGTACCCCAAGAGTTTTGTGTCCTGAGTTAATACTAGTTTAGTTCACATGAATATGCCAACTTAAATTTTCTACTTAGATTACTTCTAACTCCAAACTAGTATTAATTATTAATCATTCAGTATCTAAAAGGTGATCTTATGAAACTCTGGTCTTCCTCGAACTCTCTAATATATCTGGACAGACACTGTAGGCTGGCTAACTCCAAATTTATTCACCCCCTCTTCTCTGACATGCCATCATACAGAAACTGTAAAAACTAAACACTCGTATTCTAATCCTCATTTGCACCTGAGGGATGACATGTGGCACAGGTATGCCGATTATGTAACTGAAAGTCCACTGATGAACTTCTGAGGGTTTATTTTCCTGATAAATGGGGTCAAACACGATTAACTCATATTTTGAGTACAACAAAAGAATCTCCTAGATTTTATTAGTATATAAAATAAGCTAATACAATCTTCAAATTATCTAAGCAAAAGCTATACATGTCTCTACAAATGATAAAATATTGTCCTTCAAATTAAAAAATAAAAAACAATGTTTACTAATATCTCAAGACCATTTTCCATAGACAATGCTATATAGGCCAATAAAAACACCATCAAATTGTGGAAGAAATAAAAATGGAGCACCCCAAATAGTCTTTGCATTTTGAATAAATTATTCAGATACATTATTTTACAGGAAAGAGAACAAATGATATATTTTGTCTATTAATTTTATGGAGATTATATTGGTCAAATATAATACACTATAATACTGACAAAGTCTTAATCTATTAAGGAAGTGGCAGGCCTGTCAACAAATACTTAAATTAAGCAGAGGATAATTTTAGAGACACATAGGTAATTCAATCTTCACTGTGACAAATGGACTCATATACATGCACTGTACAACATATAAAATTTCTTAACGTGATTTCTACCTCTTTTAATGTTTGTTTCACAGTAAAAGACAAGATAACATGCAAATGATCATTAAATGAACAGCTGTATAAGTTCAACCACAAAAATACCAAATTTTACCACACCATGAATCTGATCTTTGGCCCCTGCTACCAGACTGTCAACACCTATAGTTTCTTTTATGGGCTTTAACTCTTTAAGAGTTAATCTTTAGATCTGTTCTATTACGATATGTAGGTATCCCTTGCTTTTCGAAAGTTCCCACTAGGCTACTTCACTTATAGTAAGAAAGTTAAAAAGCAAAAAAGCATTTAGTGTTTGTTTTACTGCAAGCCATTATAGAGGCAACACATACTCTGAAGAGCACAAGTGGCACTGACAATCTCCTTCCCCAGAAATTACACTCAGCATCTCAGCCTCAAGTCACCATAGTTTTGAACTGTGTCTGTAGGCGTCTGTGTTTATCTCAATTCATTTTGTACATCCATTAGCAAGATGTGTCCTAAGGTATCAGAAAAGCCTAAGAGAGGCTTTTTTTTTGGATAAGGGAACCTCAAAATGTTTTCCATATAAAGTAATGGTAATTGCTTCTTCACTGTGTATGCCATTTTGGCTCATGAAAGTTTCACAGAAATGCTCTACTTTCAGATAGTGGGGGAAACTGTATAGACATTTTCTGCTAAACATCAGTAATCTCTTCCTGAAAAGTGTGAAACTGCTAACTGGGAGCTTATTTCCCATTATTTTAATTGGAAAAAATTATAACATCTTCTTACAAGACAACAAAAAACCCCTTATTTCCTAAAATGTAACCAAAATAGAGTAAATAATTATGATAAGTAACTATCTTGTTAAGGCACAAAACACTCTGCTTCCTAAATCATCAAGTCATAAACTTAATAACAAAAAGTTGTTCTTCATGAGTAACATGACCTATCTTAAGGGACAGCAACACTCTAGACCCAGACACCCTTTGTTGACGTGCTGTTCAGAATGCCTTCAAGTGATTCTGACTACTAATTCCATATAAAATGCACCAATACTTTCCCTAGATAGTGTTTTGTTTAAAATATTGAACTGAGTTTTTCAGACATAAATTAAAGAACATTAAAATTAGAGACACAAACATTCACAATGTTTATCAATAAAAAGAGATGTTCTACTGAGAAAATGTTAAATGAAGACACATTCCTCTATGGTATATCTGTATATTCTGTAATGTATGTATATTCCTGAAAAGACACTTAATCTACAAAATTCTACACTTAACAAAATTTTTACGCAAAAAACAGTTTGCAGCAGACTATTCAACACATATACACTTTTGTAATGAGAACCAACAAATATAATTAACAATAAAAATAAAAGCACTAGTGTAGTTAAAGCATTTGTAATTCCTAGTAGAAAAAATAATACAGTAAATAGAAAATTACAGAAAAAAGGGAGTAGGAGAACAGGGTAGCATATTGGAAGAAAGTATAAGGAACTGCTAAATTACACAGACTTGACCAAAAATAGGAAACAAAGACTGGGAATAACCACTCAAGAAGCACCTATGATGAAGCACATAGACAAAAAGATGTGCCCATCCACCCTCTACTATAATCCCCTATAGCTGGCTGCATTCAACTGACCAGCACATTCTACATTTAGTAACTATTACTCTGTGGTGCACACTTGCTGGAGAAATGTGTATAATGGAGTCAATGCAACTTCCCCATTACAGATACTGACAACATTCACCTACTTATCCACAGTGTGTGAGCTAAATCATGTAACAGAACCACACATTTTGAAGCTGTGTAAAGTTGTTATCAAGTTATGAAAACACCTTTACTGTGAGGTTAGAGTAAAAGATATAACACAATTCCATGTCACCAATTAAATTAAATCTGCATTTAAATCATGCTACTGAAAACTTCAGAGGTGTTCTCCAACTTATACATGTCTTAAACAAAAAGCTTCGTTTTAAAATACAATTCCTCTGGTAGGGCTGAGCCCTGTCAGTTATTCAGAAATTCAATTACCTTGTTACTAACACTGATTATCTTCACTGAGAAAAAGAAAGCTTGGATTTGAAGATTAAAAAAAAAAAAAAAAAAATATATATATATATATATACACAAAACATATTTATATTATGTATATATATAAAATATATATATATATTTTAAACAATTTGGAATACAGGATCATTTAGAAAACAAGAGCTTAGGTGAAGACTGCCATTGGTAGGTGATGATGATTCTTGGCAGCATGAGTGTGCCAAATGCCTAGAAGAAACTGAGCAGAATATGGGAAGAATATTAGAAAGAAAAACTGAATTATTTCTCAAGTAATGGCTACAAAATTTTGCTTTGCCCTCAGAAATGGAAAAGACTGCCAACACTTCTTTCTGCTTCTTTCACCTCATAGTTCTAGGATTCCACAACTCATTCCACATATTCAATCCAGCTATTTGATAATTTAATTAGATTTTGTGGTCTAATTTAGGAGATTACCACTTAATACATTCTTCCTAGTGGAAAATGTTCAAAACTTCCAAGCAATCCATTAACAAAGGAACTTTTGGAATATAATCTGCTTCTAACTAGGGACCATCAGTACACTAAAATGTTGTTAAATCATAACTTCAATTATTAGTGCTGTCCTTTACCACAATAAACAAATAAATAGAGTGGTAAATAAATACCACTATACTACCATGTCCTAATGTCACACAATTAGACAAAACAAACAAAAACCTCACGCATTTTATTTAAATCTCCAATCTGGTTTTCAGTCAAAAATTCTCAATTAAAAATAGAACATCTTACCTCTAAAATCATCTCTTGCTCCTTGTCCTTCCTTCTTGTTCATTTTTATGTCAGAGCAGGAGTTGTTAGGGGCACCTTTCGAGTTTTCAAGGTAAGCTGAGCTTGCTCCTTTCTTGGAGGGATGAGGATCACAGAGTTTTGCATTAATCTTATAGAGCTCGAGGGCTTTAATAGCTGCTGCATTGTTATCCATACGAAGAAAAGTTGGACAGGAAGCACAAAACTCATTCGTGCAGGCCTCATTTCCACAGCCCTCAGTTAACTGGTGGTAGTAGCGTTCTATTAGATGCTTTGCAGCTGCTCGCTTCCTGTAGCAAACATTCAAACAACAAGCACAGTGATTAAGATTAGTATAGCTCTCATGTAAAAAGCTCAACAGATCTTAAGGCAAGGCAAGTTAGTGAAGCACTAAAGTAACAAATTTGCGTATTAAGATGAGTATAGAAAATGAAGATCCACTGTTTATATAAACTTTTAACTAGTGAAATGTTTGATAAAATACTGCCTAAGATACTATGATAAAGAACAGCAATGCTTATCAAAATCATTGCTGAAATAAAATATGCTTTTCTTTGGTTTAAAAAAAAGGGAGAAAAAAACTTGTTTGATGGAATACGTGCTTAAATTATTTAGTACAACAGATGAAAATCACAAGGTTTATGGCCAAGAGTTTTTGTATTTTATCATTTAAAAAAACTAACATTAAGAAAATGAGAGTCAAGTTAAAGTATCAATCCAACTTCCCTTTATATAATTACTATTTTGTTTTAATAGTTTGTAAATACTTGATTTATAGTTAACACAACTTCTATCTGGAAAGAAAGTTTTTTCTCCAATTACCTACGATACGGGAGATTTAAAAATAAACTTATAAATGTAATCTCCAAAGTGTGTTATACTGCAAGAAAATGATTCTGAGCATACAATCTTGAACCCAAAACATGTCAGTGAACTTGCTCATTAATCCCATGTCATAGAAACAAGGAATATTTTAAGTTCCCTTAGGGCAAAATCTTATGTTTCACTATGTTGTGATCCTAAAATATGTAGATTCACGTTCGTAACTGGCTGTTCCAGCAGCGCTTCCAAAAATACTGAAGAAGAGATTATTTCATCAAGCAAGAAGCTGGGCTACAATATCTATCTCTATGGTTTATTCAACTTTAAAATCTATGCTTCTACTGTCTGATGATTTGAGATTACCATAATTTAAAGAAAGTAGTCTACTGGATCCAAAGAAATATTCATTCATAGCTATTCCTTTTGGTCTCAAATTCATATGCAGAGGAATAAAAACTACAAAGAATCAAAACCATTAAAAAAATTTACTTGACTCTCAAAATGTTCCTACAATTATCTTACTAACATGTAAGACTAAATGGCAAGTGGCAACAGAGTTCACATCTTGTTAATTGTGAGCTATATCTTGTTAATCATGAGAAACTGAACAAGAAGGCAAATGAGTAAGTAGATAAGGGACATACTAGTTAAGTCCAATTTTGTCTCAAAAGTAGAACTTTGTCTCTAATCTATCAAGGTAAGTGACAAAGACAAGCACAATTAACCCCTGAACAATGTTGGCATTAGGGGTGCCACCCCCTTGTACAGTTGAAAATCTGCATATAACCTTAGATTCCCCTTAACTACAAATAGCCTACCATTGACCAGAAGCCTTCCCAATAACATAAAAAGGTGATTAACACTTTCATATGTTATATGTATGTTATATGTACTACTATATATATTCTTACATTAAAGTGAGCTAGAGAAAAGAAAATATAAAATCTTAAGAAAGACAAAATACATTTACAGTACTGTACTGGATTTATCAATACGTAGTTTATATACCTATTTTAAAAACCTGCATGTAAGTGGACCCACACAATTCAAACCTATGTTGTTCAAGGGTCAACTGTAATTCAGAAACATTCAATTCATTCTGATGCTTCTATTTTCCAAATGTTCCATGCAAATCCATGCATGCAAAGAGAGAGAAAAAAAAAAACCCTACAAAACACACTTAAAAATTGCATGGGCATCACTTAATAGTTATTTTATTACATGTAGCTATAAACAATCCAACTTTTGAAAATTAAAGATTATTATTCCAGATATATCACTATGCAAAATATTAAAGTGACAACATGTAAAGAAAGAGAAATACAGAATCTGGAAGATTTACACCATATGTTGCTATCCTTTACTAAAGAATGGGAGATTAATAAAACCATCCTATCCCAAAATACAGTGGCTTTCCAGAAAGAAAATGTAAATGGACTGTATTTCTACTCTGTAGAAAAATTATGAACATATATCAAAGTCTTAAAAATTAATAGAGAATTATACAAATCAGAGATCAAGTGAAAATAATAGGACAATTTTGCAAAAATACACTGTTTCTATGAAATCTGGAAAAAATGACATGCCAACAACGGGATTATTTAAATGAACTGATAACCATTCACAGAATGGACTAAATGAAAATTACCAACATCTGAATTTGGCAAGTCTTCCTCATTTATCACTAATTGATAAAAAATCAGTTACAAAGTTGTAAATGTAAGATGAGGCCACTTTTACTTCAAAGTGTTAACATTTTCTCTAACTGATGTGACTGAATAGGTTTTTAAAAAATTCCTCAATGTTTCTGCTTCTAATTTATTTTTTCCATAATAAACATGCTACTTCTATATTAAAAATCAATAAATATGGAGAAAATGTATTAACATTTTGATTTGAATAGCCTCAAGGCTTACCAAATTGTCCATATGACTTTTTAATGATTAATCATCAAAATTCAAAATACCAAACACTAGTTTGGTATATATACAAATACATGATTTGAATAACCTCAAAGCTTAAATTGTCCATATGACTTTTTAATGATAAATTATCAAAATTCAAAAACCAAACACTAGTTATTTTCTTAATAAGAATGTCAGGTTTTGTCCTAAGAAAAATCCCCCCAAAACCCAGTCATATTACATAATGCTTCTGTATATAATGCATAAAGGAGTGTGAACAGTAAAAATAAGACAAGACTGAGAAATTAGCAGACCTGCATTAAGTGACAGCTCCTTCTGCCTCTAATAACCTGTACAATCCTAAACAAGTAATTCTCTGAGCCTCAGTTTTCCCATCTTTCAGTTCTAAAGTTTAAGTTATTCTATGTAATAAACAGGCAAACATAGTACTAGTGTTTGAGTGTCTGGTAACATACTAGACATATTGCTAGGCACTCTGGCACAGGTTATCTCATTTGAATCCCATGAGGAGGATTATCTTCAGTTCACAGCTAAAAGAGACAGAACTGAAAGAGTAAAATCATGTACTCAAGATCACACGAAGAAAAATGCAAAATCAGGACAAGGATAGGAGTCAGGGGTCTTTTGGCTCTGGAGTCTAAGTCATTTCCACCATATTGTCTCACAGAAAGTGATTCATTTCAAAATAATTCTTAACAATAATAGTACTAAAAACTCCTAAAGGAAAAAAAAATTCCCATAATATGTAACTGAAAAAAAAGCAAAAACTCTGAAAAATCAAAATCTGAATCTCATATTTATGCATATCCGCAATCTCACAAGTACACCAAGCTTTTTGAGGAAGATACCACAACATTCTGTAAAGTTAATGTATCTGTAATTTCCTGAGAACCTATGTGCTATAGATGTTCCCACTTTAGAAGACTGTAAACCCTACTAACTAAGAGCTTGCACTCTGAAGCCAGACTCCCCAAGTTCACATGTTGGCTCTGCCACTTAACTATGTGGCCTTGAATGAGTTACTTAACATTTCTGTGTCTCAGATTCATCATTAAAGTGATGGTATACGTAATGATTATCATGGCTGTGAGAGAATTAAATGAGTTAATATATATAAAGTAGTTAGAACACTGCTTGGCACCTAGTAAACACCATGTGTTAGCTGCTATTACTGTTATGATTATTACTAAGATCCTCATAAGTCTATGAATTAGCTATATAAGCCATCATTCTGCTGATGTTCAGAGCAGTTACGTAACAAATCACACATCTAATAAGAGATTTGAGCCCAGGCTTGACTCAAAATTGGGGTTTTTCATACCACTAAGGGGAGATTTAATACCAGACAGAAGAAAGTAGGCCCCTCTATTCAGTCTGTTTCTCTGCCCAAGACCTAGAAATAGCAGCTACACAGATGAGACAGGACTGAAAGGAGGCCATGCCAGAACCTCCACGTTATCCGTGGAACCAACCATATTAAACATTTTCTTCTTTACTCACACCAATGATACCCTGAACTATCTCTACAATTCTGTATCCCCATCTAATTTAGAGCATATAAAAGGCCTCTATGTTGGGAACGTGGACACGAATAATGACATTTTTATAAATAAGTTGTGCAATGTTAATCCCTATATAGTAGGAGTCACCAAATCTTAGCTTGTGGGCCAAACCTAGCCTGCCACCTGGTTTTTGTAGCCCCCAAGATAAAAATGGTTTTCACAATTTTTAATGGTTGACAAAGTCAGAAAAAAAATATTTTGTGACATGCAGAAATTATATGAAAACCAAATTTCAGTGACCAAAAGTCTCATTAAAACATAACCAAGGTCATTAATTTAATTATTGTCTATGGCTGTTTTTGCACTACAACAGCAGAGTTGAGTAGTTTTAAGACACTGTACGGCTTGCAAATCCTAAAATAAATACCACCTGGCCCTTAACAGAAAAAATTTCCCAACTCTTAATTTAGAGTCTGTGTTCTTTGCTCTCCATGACATTTCCATCTAAGCACATGGCCTGCTCACTCTTACTCCTCAGCAAATCAATGCAGCAAAATGTGTACTTTTCCCCAACTATGATTAAAGGAGAGAGAAAGAAAAAGGAGGATAAGGGAAAAAAAAAAAAAGAACAAAACGATACAGAAAAAAGGAAAGAAATGAAGAGACTCCTTCCCCAAGCAGATCCCTTTAGGGACACCTTTTCTGCCACTCATAATCTGCTACTCTGCCACTCCACAAGAAGTGGAGCTATGGCTTACTTTCTTTTTTAAAAAGTTATTTAAATTCCAGTTAGTTAACATAAAGTGTATATTAGCTTCAGGTGTACAATATAGTGACTCAACACTTCCACACAACACTCAGTGTTTATCACAACAAGTACATTCCTTAATCCCCATCACCTATTTAACCTATCCCCCCACCCATCTCCTCTCTGGTAACCATCAGTTTGTTCTCTATAGTTAAGAGTCTGTTTCTTGGTTTTTCACCTTTTCCCCCTCATGTTCGTTGGTTTTGTTTCTTAAATTCCACATGAGTGAAATT